GGTGCGGGGGGGGGGGGGGGGGGGGGGGTCGGCGGCGCAGATGTGGCCAGCAGGCTGGGTGTTGAGCACCCATGCTATAAAACAACTGCGGACACTTAAACCTGCCATATTTAGCTTACAAGTACTGCCTGCTCAGAGGAGATACTGCTGCAAAGCACTTGCATGCACAAAACTATAGGGAAAAAGAGAAGAGATTCTGGGTCAACATGTCCCCTAGAATATTAAAAAAATAATGTAAGAGACAGGAAAGCAGTGATGCTTTCACTATGACCCATAATCAGCATAGGGTGACATACATCTCTGTCATCATGATCTATTCTGAATACCGTTACATGTGACAGTAGTAAAAAAAGACAGTCAGGACAGGTCTACATAAGTACTCATACTTTTTCACTATCAGTATGGCTACAGTGATGAAAGATAGTATGAAAAGTAGAGTTGAAGAAAATCAGAGCAGGACAGGCTTGCACATCATCTGCACCAAAACATATCACTAATACCTAAAGCAAAGCCTGAGAAATGTATTCTTTGCAAGGGATTTCATAGGACCAGAGGAAAAACAGAACCTTGAAGATCTGAAGTCTGATTCCACTAAACAATGGAACAGTGAATTTGACAACGGTTCGTTTTTCAGATACAGTCTGAGCATCTGCTCAGAATCTGGTGTAGAATTTATTTCAGACAGATCTTTTTATAAATTATCAGCATTTTCACAATATAGTTTAACCTGTGAGTTTGAGAAAGAAATGGTACAAACTTCTTATGCATCTTTTCTCTTTTGCTGCAAAATGGCACTAATCTACCCACTAGACTAAAAGCCCATAAAGCTAACTCACACAAGGATTATTTTTTCTCTCTTTCATAGCTGTAAGCAGTTTTCAGAAACTACTGTTTCTTGATTTTTTGCTCTAGTGTTGCATTAAGTATTTTTTCTCTCCAATTTAATATAACAATTCCTGAATGAATTCATATTTATGAATTATTTATTAATTATTTGTATTTAAAGCGACGTAGGTAATTTTTTTAAAACCTGTTGTTAAAAAGAACAACAACAAAAAAAAACAACTGTGAGCATTTACAGCATGGCATGGCTAAGATCTTACATACCCAAATGTCAGAAAGTTCAAAGATATAGTCCCCACATCAACAGCAGTTATTGCTCCTTTTCTTATGACTTTTTAACAGACTTAACTTTACTGCAAAAATCACAGTTGCTGTGATAGGAATTGTTACACTTCCTGACCTTTTTTGATTAATGCATTTAGATATAGAGTCTCAACATCAGCATTATATTAATATGTGAACATTTTCCCCCTCAACCAATTTGTTCCAAACTCAGCCTATGAGTAGGGGTCCACCAAACTCGAGGTGGCTGCTGGATGATTTTGCGGGCAGACCATGGGGTGAGCAGCCATTTTTGCAGCAAGTGGCAGGGCTGCATGATGGACACCCCTCTCAGCCAATAAGTGATGGGGGGAGGGGGGTGCTGCTGCACTGTGAAAAATTCCTCCAACGTTGAAGGAGGAAAGTTCTATGCCAAGATATGGGAATAGAAGCAGCTTTTGTCAATATATTTAGCATGTTTTAACCTAAAGAACAGTTTTTCCACAGAAAACTATTGAATTTAGTAGTTGCCATATGAAAGTGTTCTACTCTACCAAATCCGTAACCATTTTAATCACCTGTGCAATGAAGAGTGGGAAAATGGGAAAATCCCAACACAGCTTCATAATAGAATCAAAATGTAAAATAAGGGGTTTTATCTGACTGTATTGGCACCCATCAGTATTCTGGCAATAAGCATCAACAATATCAACAGCCCTCTCTTGCTCTCAAGGAGAAAAAATAGCTTTGCATTGTTTTTACTGCAAGAGAAAGAATTCCATGCACTCAGTGTATATCAAGTTTTATGCAGTGTTGATGAACTAACTAGTAAGTCTATGTCTGTTTCCTGATGCATAGAAGTGTAAGAAATATATGAAACTGAGCAAGGTAGTCTACCAAAGACCTCTCGCCTTCTTCTGTCCAAGGCTAGAACGATAAAACTGTTAACAAATCAGTTTAAATCACCCACCTCCTGACTATAAGCAAGCGACAGTAGGTTTTTACAGCCATAAATAACATTACAAAGATCCCAAGAGTAGAGAAGCAGTAGAAAAATAAAAAGGGGAAAATCAAATCCAGTTGTCACTAAATTACCTGGTGTTACCAACACTTGCAGGCAGGAAAATGTTGCAGACCAAAAATAGAAGGAATTAGTGTAATTAAGTTACTTTGACAGTTGTGACAAGTTTACTTTGTGTGATGGGCATAAATAAAGTTAAGCCTTTGACTGAGCTTTCGTATTTGATCAAATTACAAAACTTAGCAGTAGTTTCTTTAAATGCACACACAGGCAAGCGTCACACAAAAAATAGTGTATATCATTTTGCAACTAGACTTCAAAAAAGTAGGGGGTACAATGGGTACCTACGGAAAGAGCAAGTATAAGTGGGTTACACCACAATAAAAACTAATTTTTGTTTCACTAGGTTAGGCAGGACATTTGCTTTCACTGCAAAAGGCTCATATAGCTTTCAGTTTGGGTAAACTCCAGATAGCGCCCTCAACTAAGAACTAAAATGCAATGGTCCTTCATGTACAAATGAAATCAAGAGCCATGTTCTCCCTACCTGTCAGCTTTCAGGAGAAGGTTAGATGGCAACTCAAGCAGCTGGTTGTGTTGTATATCCAGGACCTCCACCTGTGTGTGTTCAAGCCTGTCGGGCAGTCTCCCCAGCTGGTTATGTCCCACCAACAGCTTCCGCAAGCTACTATTGCAGAACAACCTTAAAGAACAAAACATCAAGAATACAGTAAATGGAAACAAGACATGAAAAAGAAAGGCAATGAGACCTACTCTTCTACAGAAGTGGAGTTTGTCACAAAAGGAGATTCAGCCAACTGATCATCAGCAAAGGTTTTAATTTCCTATAAGCTCTCAGAACATCTTCCCACACCCCTTAAATAAGGTGCGAATGTTCAAAGACAGGAAGGGTTAGGGTGGGGAGTGGAATATCAGAATGACTATGGAATGGAATAGGGAAATATTATCTGATTGCACTCTCTGAAATGTGCATAAATATGGTACTGATGAAGTGGGTAATTATGAATGCCCACTGAGAACTTCACTTGTGGGATACCTTCAGCTACAGGGAAGATTTTTTTAAAAAGGAAAGAAAAAGTATGCAAGAAAGCCAGCCATCCCAGAAACTTAATAGTACTTTACTCATCATGTGCTGACTCATAATCCACTGCAATTTCCCTCTTCCCCCATTTTTCCCTTTTGGTTAATACCAGACTAACATAAAGCCTCCTTTCCAGTTCTACAGGGAATGAAATTTATCTAATCCGCTTTTCTATCTTGAGCTTTTACAAGCTCAACATCACCCCTTTGCCCCATTTATTTACTTGTTTGGCCTGAGGGTAGAGAGAAAAATAAAAGAGAACTGCTTTGATAAAATCTAATGGTTAATATTTGCCACATGAACAGTTGGTGCTGGCAAAAGAATTCAGATCTTGGACTGAAAGAAATCATCACCCAGAATGATCAAGCTGAAGTTTTGAATAGAAAACTACTATAATTTTTTTTATTAAAAAGTTTAAAAACCAAAGATTATTCTTCATCTGTCACCTTTCTTAAGCCCCTGTGACTGTACCATGACTGTTTAATCAGATGTTTGCCCCACATGCCGATCTGTTTCAATCAAGGAATCTCCAAATTACTCAGCATCACAGCAGAAGCCTTCCTCACTCCTTGACACTGAAGGTCCAGATACATGCAAAGAATCCTACCCTTCTCTCTAAGGCATCACCCACGGTACACTAATGCGTCATTGGGCTAGTGTGCCAAAGTAATCAATGAAGTACACTGACTTGTCACTTGACAGATGCAGTCATACTATAAGTGTACCAGCCTTAACAATTCTTAGTAGAAAGTTGCCTGTGTTATATGATTATTAGGGTTACAATTCAACAGGCAGTTTTACTATTCCAGAAGACTCAAAAGCAGAGTTGAATAAGCTTTAATATACAAAAGATAAGCCTTCTTTAAAAAAAAAATCTTAGGCAATTTTGTTTTACTTTCTTTCCCCATTTTGTTTAAAAAGGCCTTTGATTACAGATAATGTGGCAATGTGGCACTCAGGGAGAATGCAGTGCTTAATTTGTGGCACACCTGCCAAAAAGATTGGCCTTCACCACTTCAGCTTACAAGCAGCGCTTATCAAAAGTCTTCCAAATCCTCCAACAATATTTGGATTTGTTAAAAAAAAAAGCTGTTGTGATGAGAATGAAAATGTTCTTAAGCCACCCAATTACTCAAGGCATTGGGCAGCATGGCACAGAAGGAAACCACCCAGCTGAACAGTAGAGAGCCCCCTACTCCCTAATAATCCAGGGCCCCACTGGGATAATAAAGACAAGGCAGGTAGCCAAGTCTCTGGCCCAGCAAATGACCCGATTACTGGTGAAAACTGACTGAATGAATATCCCCACCGAACACGGTTCAGTCAAACTGATGTTTTCTTATCTTACACCATTCCACTGGAGAATTTTCAACTAGTTCTGCTACCAAGCAGCTGCCCAACAGGCCACTTTCTTCATAAAAGCACAAACAAAGCAGGTCCTCAGTCACAGAAGGTAGAAGATGCACCAAAACTTACTGAAGAAACATACAAGTATTCTCTTAGGGAACATCTAGATTCTGGTTTTACAATAAGAAATTTGGCCTACCAATTTGAAACTTGGCAACCTTTTGTTGCTTTTGTGGTAAAGTTGGTGCCAGCTTTGCACACCTTTATCAGAACAGCTTTTAGCACATCATCTTTTATTGGGCAAGGTATACCACTGAGACGGATATTAGTATAGAGTATACCTTCTCTACATCTTCAAGGACTCTACCTTAGCTTGGCAGGAGGCAAATATAATCTAAAGCAATTTCTTTAAATTAAATGCAAGCCTTGGGCTCCCAGGAACTCACTGGCCCAGCTTTTTACAGGTCAATGCTTGGGTATTTGACCCTAGGGAGTTAAACTTCCACCAAACAATGAAATAGAAATAAAGCAACCAAGTTTCCTTAGAGAAAAGACATTCCATGCACTGCTTTTGGCTATGGACAGAATTACATATAAACTGGTATACGTGATTGGAAACCGATTCAAATCTGTAACACAACAGAAATTCAGGGCACATAAACCGCTTTCAAAATGGCCAAAACTGGTTTAAGATAAACCTGGATGGAAGTAATCTCAGACGTAACCGATTTAAGTTAAATCAGTTTCTGGAACTTCTGTCCCAGATGCCCTCCAGATTCAAGTTACCTCACAGTCACCCAGCATCCCAGGATGCTTTGCACCTCTCCCATAAACACCCTCCCCGCCACACTACGGGGTGGATGGGCTAGCCTTAGTTTAAGCTGTTCACTCCAACTAAGCAGGGCGGTGTGCTCTAGCACCCCGTCCAGCTTCTAGCCTGGACCACTGCAGGCACATGGCTGCATTTCTAGAATCAAAAGTTGAATCTTGCTTATTGGATCAATCTACACAGCTTAGACTAACCTGTGGAGAATTAATAGATTCAGCTTCAGGATTTTTGACTGTCTGTACTTAGCCTTTGAATGCAAATAGGCTGATATTTTCAGCCTATATCTGTGCCGAAGCAACAAAAATCTGACCCAAAGTTCACTAAAGATTACAGCATTCAAGGCTAACCTGGTATACCTAGTATGACTGCTTTTGTGTTCTGAGGTATAAGTGAAAACAACTGGATTTTTTTCCTCTTGCCTTATGTGTGATGCAGTTTCAAGTTGTATAACACAAAACAAATAGTGGCACAATCATTAACATGCCTAGTTGCTGAAGCCATCTCTTCATTCGTAGGATCACATGGAAATAGGGATGGAAGGGACCTCATGAGGTCACCTAGTTCAGCTCCCTGCTCAAGGCAGGTTCCTCCCTGACTAAACCACACAGCCAACCATCCCTCTAATCTGGTCTTGAAAACTTCTGGGGACAGAGATTCCACATTTCTGAAGCCTGCTCTTACTTCCCTGCCTCATTTCAGGAAAATAGCCCACAGACTTCTTTCCCAGAGAAAACTAGAACTCACTTGTTTTTCTGTCATTTTTCTCTGCCATGTAGTCAACAATCAGCAGCTAGAAGCCTTCCTTTCCTTGTGCATCGCCCTATCCCTCAACCTTGAGTTGCTATACTGGCTCGTCTTACAGTTTCGAGTTCCCTTGACTATTATGGTTCTACATCTCCCCGACCTCACTTGACTTGCTCTTTACATCAAGTGGCTCTTGTTGGGGTATCTTCACCCACTTTCATCTCCATGTCCTTTCCCACATGAAGGGAGCAATTGGGAATGTCAGCATTCCTTCTGGAAGCTATATATTCTCAATTTTCCTCAAAAAATGGGGATGGGGAAGGAGGAGGAGATGGGACATTTTTAGTCTTGGATTCCCAAGACTCTCTCTCTTCTCCATACCTCCCTCATCACTCCTCTTACCTTTTTTTTAAATTGGTTCGTTGTACATGTAAGTCTTGGGGGTGGGAGTGAAGAGGGGAAGGAAACAGACTATCTTTTAAGCCTGGGCTCACTTTATAAAAAGTCACTTTACTGCTATCTTCTCTTCTTCTCCCAGCCCCCCCTCTTCACATTTTTCAAGTCCTGGCATAAATTTCAGACAGTCAGCTATTTGTGACAGGAACTATCCTTTAATGTTTGTACAGCATCGTGCACCACTCAGTCTTGACCTGAGGCTTCTAGGCACCACTGGAACAGATCCCAAGACAGAACTTCCGAAAAGTCATGCAAAGTTATGGCTGGTAATATTTAATACTAAATATTAAAATGAAGCTTTCCATGCTGAGCAGCGGCAAGGACAGCATTAGAATTTCTGTCTGGAATTCAAAGAGACTGCTTGTCTCTGCGTGAAAGCAAAGAAGAAAGGCTGTGTGGAAGCTTGTGGCATGATGACACCCCATGAGGTAAAAAAAAATAAAAAACCAAGATGAAACGAGCTTGTCTGTCATCAGAACAAACTAAACACTGAATCAGCAGTTACTTTCAAACTACTTATACTGTTCCACATTGTATAACTTGGTTTGTGGGACTCACCGGGCAGGCAGCTCACAAATTTGATTGTGGCCAGCATCCAACACTTCTAGCTTTCTGCTGTCACAAACCCATTCGGGCAGGTTTTCCAAGTGGTTTCTACAGGCAAGAACAGGATGAAAACTTAGCTGTGTTTCAGATTTGAGGACTATTAACTGTAAGAACAACATATTAATATTACAAACACAAACATACGGCATACACAGGGACCCAATGGGAACAATATATCTTGTCACTGCAATGAACAAAACAAGAGTTTGGTTGAAGGGGTGAGAAAGCAATAAGGTCATAGATTCATAGATGCTAGGGTCAGACGGGACCTCAACAAATCATCAAGTCCGACTCCCTGCCTAGGCAGGAAAGAGCGCAGGGGCCAGATGCCCCCAGCCAGGTGCCTATCCTTTAAATAAAGAGAACTGAATCTGCAATCTGCATTCTCTTCCTGGATTTTATAGCTATAAAGTTAGCTATGAAATCATAATTGCATTAGAAAGAGAGAAAAGATAAAGTGAAGCCAAAACACTTAGGAAGAGGAGGAGGGGAAAGTCTTGCCACAAATAAGGACATTTAATTTCAGCACCCATTCATGAAGATAACTCATCACAGAATGGAAATCACCAACGGCTTGCCTGACCAAGGCACGCCCGCTCCTGGAGACCCCAGAGACAGAACCCAATCTACGCCTCCTTGGATGCTGCTCGCAGGGGCAGGACAAAGGAAAACAACAGGCTGATGATTTTTTTTTTTTTAAATTAGGCACTTCCAAGGTCAAGGGCTTTGCTCTTCTTTCCCTGGTTTCCACAGTAAGTTTTACAAACACAACTTTTAAGGTTAAAGTTTCCAAATGCTACCTTGAAAGCCTGATGCAAAATAAAGCTCCCGAAGATGGTGTACAAATAGCTAGGGAGTGACCTGAGCATTCCAGATAGACAGACATAGTGGTATCAATTTCAAATGATACCAAGATAAACTGTTAGGATGTAAGCTATGTCTTCAAACTCCTGTAGCAATACAAAAGTGTAGCAAAACCACTGTGACTTTAATCCTGTTTCATTCACAGTTAAAATTCAGCTAAATTGCTGTAACTTGTACCAAGACAAGAGCAGGCAGATTAGAACAGTTGACGTGTCCTTCTAAGCAGTAGTTCAGCCTTCCATTTTAAAAGCAGCTAAAAGATAGCTGCTTTTGTCTATAGCCCCAGTTTAATCCTACCAAAGTGGGAACATACAGATTTTAAAAATCAAGAAGCAGTTCTTATAACTGTGTAGAGATCAATACCCTTTTTTCAGTCGTATAGTTCTCCCTTTTGATTTATTCATATAGTCCATATAATTCATACTTTTAGCTTTTTTGGTTGAAGACTGTAAGTCAATCTATATTTATACTTCATACTAATCAAAATGTGTTACATCAAAATACATATTATTTAGTATTTCTGAAGTAGTTAAAAACAGCCCTCTCAAAAGAAGGTGCACATTCAAACTCTTTCAGCAAACTATTATAAAATAATGCCAGAAGGAAGTCAGAACAAGCTTCAACCAAAACTAAATGTTCCTCACTAACATGGATATGAAGTAAATGGAAAATAGTAGGTTAGAAATAGCATTTTTCAAATCGTATAATGCTCACTAAGTCTAGTACGCAGCTACCTTCAATTGTTTTTAGGTGAGCAAGAATATATCAGCGGTCAGAACCCAGTCCATTTATTGCAGTATTTAGGGATGTTTTAAGAGATTTTTATGAAGCTAGTGAGACAAACGTGGGGGTTCCTGGACATGTGGATGATTTAAGCCTATACTGAAGTTCTTTCGTGATTCTGCCCCAAAATTTTAAAATGGGAGGTCATTAGGTCAAGCTTCATAAAAGGTATGTATGTCTACATTATACCAGACATACCTATAGATATGGTAAACATTATTATATTTTACACACTTATAGAAGCCCAAGCAATAAATCATTCCCATCTACACTGTTCAGAGAATCTCTAATCAGTGATGTTTATTGAAATTAACTGCAGATATATTTATTCCAATAAAATGCATGAAAACCAGGGTGGTGAATGTTGGTCAATATGAAGAACAAGAGTTGGGGAGCAATGAAAGAACTCAGCTCTCAATACACTTTTGACAAAAATCACAGCCTTTCCATAAATCAGTTTTCTATGCCAGTAAAACAAGAATAATTTTTCTCCTTTGCATTATCTTGATTGATGTAGGTGCTATAGAAGGCAAGAGAAAGCATATTTTTCTTACCTAGAAATATCCATGCAAGTCAGGTGATTTGGAACTGGATACACATCAAGATGAACAAGTTCTAAAAGGAGGGGGGAAAAACCCCAAGTTAAAATCACAGATTTCTGAAAAATGCAAATGAGTCATTTAGGGACAAAGCCTTAAAAGATATCCAAGCTCTTTTCCCCGACTGATTTCAAGTTACCTAAAGACCATATTTATTTGAATACAAGACGATTTGAATTTATGAGGATTCCACCCCCCCCCGCAACAACAATGAAATTTTATACATGGAAAATATACGTATTTGTTATAGTTTTCTTTGTATAGACTTTAATTATTGGAGGGGGGTCTTAAATTTACCCCTCAGCAGGGAACGTGATGGGGGGGGTGGGGGGGAGGCAATAGGGGAAGCAGTGGGGGAGGGTCAAGCAGCCTGAGGCCTGTCCTTTGGCGTCCCCCCCAAAATGCCTGTGCCCCCTGGCACCTGCCCTCCTCAATGCCTGCCTCGTGCTGCCTGTTCCCTATACCTTCTCTCTACTGCTTACCCTTTGGCTCCAACATGCTCCAGCCTGGGGCACAAAACACGTGCTTGCTCCAGGCCCAGCCCAGCCCATTGGAGCGATTCAATGATTAATACACTATGTCTGAGGCTACTTAAGTTGGATTTAGTATAGATATGACATTATGCTATAATTAAAATGAGTAAGTGGCTTCAGAGAATATTTTATGGTTTTTAAAATAATAATTACTTCAAGAAACTCAAATTTTTCATTTTCCCTGCATCCTCCCATTCAGAGCTCCCATTTGGACTCCTTTTTTGCTTATTCTCTCTTTACTTTGGGCCACAAAGTTTTTTTCTTTATTTTTCACATGTTATGTTTATTGTGTACCTGGGAACACCTCCAGGTCATGCTTCCTCACGTCACACTAAAGATATGAAGGTCATTCTTCAACGGTTATTTGACAGCAACATCTTAATCGTACCACTCTGTTGGTTTTTTTAAATGCACACATACACACCAGGCCTTATATAATTATGCAATAGAAATACTGAACAAAAACTTGTCAATACGTATGTATTTGTAAGACTAAAAGACATATTGCAATGTAAGGTGCTAGGTTTTTCTCAAAGAGTTAAGACTGTTTCTGAATGCACATATTACATTTACACCGATAACGCATCTGCTGAAGTAACGATGTAAGCGCACATTCTGACAGTGTCTGAAGGTAATGGTAGAAAACTCGCAGCCTGAACATGGAAGTTTTGGCAGCGTACCAAGAGTCATTTGAAAAGGAAGGAAGGGCTCTCTAAGCCCTTCTGCTATTTTGGCATAGGCCCCTTCTATCACCAACTGAAACCACCAGTTAAATCTCATACTGGATCACTAGAGCTCTCAACACTTCGCACAAGACATGCCTGGAAAAAGTTTTTTTTAGTCCTTGTGAAGGACTTGTAATCATGAAGAGCCATCACCTGGCCCCTGAAGTCTTAATGAAGAAGTTATGAGTAACACAGAAAGGTTGCCTTCTATAGGTGGGGACAATTAACCAATACCAGTGCTGCTCAGCCAAAAGCTACTCCCAGTTAGACAGCAGCTATGGAAGGGTTAACACTGTAGCTCTGACCCTGAATAGCGATCTCTACCAGCCCCTCCCTGGGTCCAACCAGGGGAGAAGCACAGCAGCCACTACAGCTGCTATCCATGCTTCCATTTCTCCACCCCAGCACAGGCTATCTGCTTCAGAGCATCCATATTTCATAGGGCTGGGTTTTTTTGGGAAGAAGGTGCCTACAGTATGTGAAGAAATAGGCTGCTTTATGTGCTTTTTGTATTGTATTGATACTTTTACCTTCCCTACAACATGGTAGCCTGAGAAAAAGGAATTTTAAGTTTAAATTCTAAATGTCTATGTTTTAGTGACCTTCAAGTCAGCAGTTTAGTGTTACCTGAATGTAAATTCTGGAGCTTAACATTATCATTGGCATGATATAGGACATAAGGCTTCTTTTGAACCAAAGGTTATGTTACCAAACCCCCTTATTAAACTAAATTATGTGCATTCTACTTAATAAGCATTCAAAATGCTCTTAGAAAAAGCAGGTTAAAAAAAAACAAAACAAAACAAGACACAAGTGCCTTGAAATTAGCCTTACCATTTGAAGAGGCATAAAGACCTTTGAGACAATATCCACTGATCTTGAGGGTCACCAGCTGATTTCGTTCACAGTGCAGCACTTCAATGTTGTTGAAAACTGTTGCATCAAGTTCACAGAGTTTATTGTCTCGTACATCTAACTGGGTCACGTGATGAAGGAAATCTACTTCATCTGCCACCAGCCTCCTAATTACATTCAATCTGAGAGAGGTGGAAAAAATAAGATTAGTGTACAACCACAACAGGTTCTGCATGAGGGGGGGGGCAGCCCTACGTCTGCAGATCAACAACTGGCTTGGGTCACACAGCGAGCCTATGGATGCTGAACAAGACCCATTTTATTTGGGGTTTTTTTTCTTTCTTATTCTGTTCCCTGGGATATTTTTAAACAGACTAGGTCAGCTCTTGTACCTTATCATCTTCTGTTACACTGTGATAATGATGTTGACCTCCTTTCTTGTACTTTGTGATTTACTGAAAAAAGGACCAACAGCTAGGTGTTATTAATATTATTACTGCATCTATAAAAATAACACTGATCTTGCTGTTATTTGCACCTGGGTGGTACAGAAAAAAGAAAAAGACTTTTTACACACTTCCTGTTGGCCTTCAAAGAAATGTAATGAACATTGCTGGAAAAGCCTGACACATGCAAGCGTGTACTACCTCAGCTGCTGAAGTAGTAATTTGGAAATAATGGAGTTATTAGTTTGACTTAGTTTTGGACCTAGCCTTTCCATGTTTACATGTTATTTCATCATCTTTAAGCAAGCAAATTCAGCCCTCTGAATTCAAACAGGTGGGGGGGGGGAAGGAGGCAGAAGGGAATAGGTTTTACTGTAATCTTTATTGATGTCTGAGCAAGAGTTACTGCACTGAAGCTAGTCAACCCTCAGTGACCTTTCCAGAAGAAATTACTGTGGAAATAAAGTTACTGATGAAGCAGAGCTACATGCAGGATTTCAGTGAACTCTGAAGAATCCAATTATTCTCAACTGACCAGACACAGCACATAATATATCAGGAGTAACACCAATATGTATGGGAAAAATAGAAATCCCAAGGCAGGCTGGCATGACTGTGTACAATATTAGTAATACAGCCTTGTTGTCATACATTCTTTACTTTTTGCCTCTGCAGAGAAACCTAACTTCCAAGGAAAATACTTCAGGGTGAATTAGGGTTTAAATTATTATTACTATTATTTTTACTTTTAGGGGAAAGGGAACATGTCTGATCCAGCAGCCACTGCATTAAATCATATTTGCTGCATGGCAAATCAATAAATTCAATGTAAAATAAACAATGCAGGTACTCTGCCCACTTGAGTAACAAAAAAAGGAGATTCTCCAAGAATGAGGGGGAAGGTGTTGACTCTGAGCGGGCGCTTAAGATGCAAAGCTAGGATCCATATCAAAATAACCACACTGAGTATATTTGGACACATTATTTTAGTCCATCTATGGCCTATGGAAATGCCCATTGCTCACTGAGTAGTTTAACATTAAATGATGAAAATTGGGGTTTTATAAAATCTACGAGGAATATAACAACTTATGTCACTGAGACATGTAAAACTTGTACAGCCAATGGAGAGCAGAAGCTCCCTCTTGACACAGAAAAAAACTGGACCACTAGATATATAATATACTTCAAAATTTCTTGAAAGGGTCAGCAGCTTCTTCCTCTCTCTCTCATTTGTCAAACAGAAATAACTCTAGAATTGTAAAAAGAAGTTGGCTCATGTCTGTCAGCTCATGCATTCAAATCTGCTTACTGTTCCCACCACTTGTGGCGACTACCATTTAAATGCTGAATGGAAAAGAGAAGGTTCATGCAAGTCCAAGCCAGTGTTTGAGATGCTTCCCTTTTAGCAGTCAAGCATTACAGTCAAAGGTGTTTTGCCCGTGGGAAAAATGTATCGGGCATTTCTGCAATTTCCACAATAACAAGCCTGCAACTTAGCCCAAATGAATGGCACCTCAGTAAAATGCACCGATTAAAATAAAGGTATAATAAAGGATGGGAAAGTTATACAAAGGAGAACCTGAACAGTTTTTAAAAGTTTAATTTTTTTGATCCCAAAGGGGATCCTTCCATGTTATCCCAGTGCTATGACTTGTCCTCACTTCAGCCCAAACTCCTCAGTAGCACAGACATCCTATGAAGCTTAGGCTATTTCAGCTGGAGGGACACTATTTAGCACGTCTGCTCTGATATCCATATTGGTTATTTGGAACCTCACACTAAGGAGTAGCAGCAGTAGCATGGATCGAGCCAGAGTCCCTAAGAACTGGAACAGGAGGAATGGGACACCACAGACAAACTGCTGTTTCTAACCACCTGGTAGATTTGGCTGAAAGGCAGGTTAGAAATTCTACCGCAACTTCTCGTTAGATCAGTGGTTCTCAAACTTTTTTTTTCGTGGACTGCTTGAAAATTGCTAAGGGTTATGGCAGACCACTTAAAAACTTTTTTTTTTGTTCTATAAATCAAAGCACATGACTTGTATCTTAATATCAGTAGTCTAACCTTACAAGTACAGATATTCTTGATTGTACTGCAACCTTTCTGCGGATCACCTAAATGAAGCTCGTGGACCAGTGGTGGTCTATGGACCACAATTTGAGAACCTCTGCCTTAGATGAATACCTGCTGGAGGCATGGAACACCACTACAGCCCCCAGAAGACAGTCTTGACCTTGGAACTAAGGGGCAGGCATCAGAAGCAGACTGAGCATGTAATTTCCAGGATCCTGCACCCACATCAAAAACGTAGGACAAAAAGGGCTGGAAAGACAGGTGGAGGTCATCTAATTCTAACACGCAAGACAAGGTCATCTTTGCATGAAGCATTCCAGGCAAAATGTTTGCCTAACCTGCATTTAAAAACTTCCATTGAAAGATTTCACAGCTTCTCTCAGGAATTGTTTTGGGATATAACCACCCCCATGTTACAAAAATTCTTCCTGTCATTAGACCTAAGTCTTCCTTGTTGCAATTTTAGCCCGTTACTTCTTACCCTGCCCACCAAGGGCATAAGAGGACAAATGATAATCACCCCTTCAAAACAACTCTTATTTTATTTGGAGATTTATCAAATCCCCCCATCATTCTTCTTTCCCTGAAATTAAATAAACCCAGTTCTTTCAAACTTTACCTCATGTTGTCAAGTTTTCTAGACTTCCACATCATTTTTGTTGTACTCCTCTGGATCTTCTATTTTGCGCATACCTTTTTTTAAGAAAAGTACAGTGCCCAAAACTGGACACACTAGGTGAGATTTCTCAGCAGAATTGCTTTCTGCACCTTGCATATGACACCCTTGTTAATACGTCCCAGGATGCTAGTAGTTTTTCTTGTCACATTACACTGGTGACTCATATTCAACTAGTGATGCTTTAGCACCTCCTCCCCACCCTCATCTCTCTCTGCAATGCTGCAACCTTTTTCCCATTTTGTATTTGTTCATCTGATAAGTGCTTAAGAAGGAATATTCACTTCATTGAATTCCAGTCCTGTTCATTTCAGATCGTTTTCCTAATATATGAAGCCTCTTCTGATTACTAATCATGTACTCTAAAGTGCTTCCACAACCCCATCCAATTTTATGCTAGTCACAATTTACTAAGTGTGCTCTCAATTACAAATCATTTAAACCAAAATATTTTTAACAGAACCAAGACAGATCCTTGTGGAACCCTGATCAATACAGCCTCCCCAAGCTGTGCACAACTACTCTGAGCATGATTATCCAATTAGTCATGTACCTGCCTTACAGCAGTTTCATGTAAACTGTATTTCCTTAACTAACTTCAGTCTGTCAACTTTACTAAAGCCAAGTTATATAATATCTGCTGCTCTCTCCTAGGCACAAACCTATTATCCTGTCATAGAATGCAATTACATTGGTTAGGCACGATTTGATCTTGACAAACCTACATTGGCTGCTGGTTATCACATTAAGCCTCTAGATGCCTACCAAATGGTTGTTTGATTATATGCTCCAGCCCCTTTCAAGGTACTGAAGATAAGCGTGAACAGTCTAATTCCCCGAGGCCCTCTTTTTTTTTTTTTAAAGAAAAAAAAGATGGGCACTGTAACATTTTTGCAGTCTGCTGGGACCTTACCTGATCTCCATAATAGCCAATGGCTCTACAAATACTTCAGCCAATTCTCAGGGCAATCTAGGATGAATCTCATCAGGCCCTGCTGATATGACAGAATCCAACTTGCCTAGATACATATCTAACATATTTCAAATTTTACTCCAAGTACAATTTCTGTCCCTCCTTCACCACCCTCTCACACTTACTGATGCCAGTTGTTCTAGTCCTTTGACAGCCTCCTGTACATGGTCCATTATTAGCCTCTTCTCATTCAAAATGTTTTCTTTGCATCTCTCCTACTTCTAATGTGTTTAGAGAATGCTTCTTGATTTGGGAGGCAGGAGGGGGGTATGGGGCAAAGGGGGAGGAGGGGTTCTCCTTTGCTAGCTCAGTTTGTGCCTTGGCCATTCTGATTCTGTCCCCGTATACACATGATCTTAGCCAAAAGTATACTTCTATACTCATCCTTAATAGCAGGGCCAAGTTTCAACTTTTTGTAAGACTCCTTTTCAAGCTTTAAACTTGCAAAGTTGTTGGAAAGCTCATGGTTTAAAGATCAAGCGGGTATCATACTACGCCTCCTTTCCTTCCTTTGCACTGCCAAGGGGAGAGAACTTCAAACAGAACTAAGCAGCAGAAGGCTGGATGAACCGTTCAGATTGTAAAGGCAGGAAGGAGAGCTGCTTTTTCAGCATGCTGGATTTATGCCACACACCCACCGATTGCTTTTTTTCCCCCCCCCTCCAATGACAGGGTTCTGTTCACACTAAAATTGGCATTGTGATAGGTCTATACACTGGTGTGACTTCTAGATGAGCCCATCCCTCCCCAAAGGTTGTACGAGTTGTTAACCTTTTCAGAGTTTGCCAAGAGGGGAGCCCCACCATAGTTGTGTATATGGAAGCTTTGTTTACACACTATTGAAAAACCAATAAAAAAATTACAGCATGCTGAATTTGGCTAAAGTCAGAAGACAAAAATATGTGCAAAACCAGTTCTGTTACCTTATCCTCTCCTTACCCCTGGCCACCAGACTCTTGCATTTGGTCTACCTTATGGCATGGGCTCTAAGCTCGCTGGACCAGGAACTATCATTTTGAATATATTTGTATGCACTTACTGCAATGAAGCCCTGGTGTGGCTATGCCCTGTAAGGGCCACAATAATGCATTTAAACCCCTTAAACTCACTTTTTCAGGCTTGTTTAGTTTAGTCAGTTCCCCAAATATAAAGTTGACAAAAAAAATACTACCTGCTGCTAGCACTGTGAGAGTTTGTACAATGAACTAGCAACAATCATATCTGGGGGCTACTATTACCACTACATAAGAAGTTATTTCTACATGAATAATTCAGATTTGCTCTCACAAATATCTACCTTAGATCCACGTGTTTAATATGAGGCATTCTTCTCAGCGTTGGTAGGTTGAGGGCATCTATGCAGTTTCCAGACATACAGAGTTTATCCATGGCAGTCATTTTCTCTAATACCCCTGGAATGTCAGTGAATTCATTGAAGGAAAGACTCAGATAGCTGAGCTGATGCATGTGCTCCAATTCAGCAGGGAGGGACTGGAGAAAATTGCCATCCAGCAAAAATGTCTGCAAACTATTAAAGCAGATGGGAAAAGTGACCCTTTGTTACAAACATGTATTCATCCCAAATTAACAGCAGTCATAGGGAAATAAATCTGTACAAGGGTAGAGAGCAAGAGAAGTCACAGAGAAACCTACCAAACATCTGCGAACAATATGACAAAATCCTTCAAGTCCTAGTCAGCATGAACTATGGTCTAGATAAACTAGCTGTATTTCATACTTCAAAATTTCTGGAATTCCCATTTCTTTTATATGTACTGCAGACATCAATGTGTTATACCAGTGGTGCCCAACCTTTTGGCCCAACCGGCCAGACTGGCAGTGCCAAGTCTGTCTGCAGGCTGGATCCAGCCAGTGCTCCTAATCTAGCGTGGGCTCCATCTGGTTGCATGGAGGAAGAAGAGGGGGTACAGGCTGGCCCCAATGCAGCTTCACAGGGGAAAGGAGCTTGACCCACCCCAGTGGAAAGAGCGTGTGGCCCAGCCTGGTGCGGGGGACAGGGGGAAGAAGGGGCATGGCTAGGTCTCAACTCAGCCTCAGGGGGAGGGAAGGCAGCATGACTTCAACCTGATCCAAAAGTAGGGAGGCATGGCCCAGCCCCCTGTGGGAGAAAGAGGTGTTACTTGGGTCCAACTGGCCACACAAGGAATGGGGATTTGGCACAGAGGAAGGTGCCCATATTAAGGGCCATTGCTCCCACCCTGACAAATTTCCAGACCCGTCGGGCGCCCCACCAGCCTGATGCAGTGGCTCTGTGGGCTGCATTTGACTCGTGGGCAGGCCAGAGGTTGAGCACCTCTGCCTTATACGATTACACCATTTATACAAAAAATGGTACTGTTAATACTTAAGAGAATTTAAGACCATTATGATAACTGGAATGGCCACACACACACACACACACACACACACACACACACAAAAATAATGCTCCTTACTGCTCCTCCAACCCATTGATTCCAACTGGTCAGCAAGAATATAAAAGCTAGCCGGCTATGAAAGCTCGAGTCAAACAAGCTACAAACTTAGCAAGATTTGTGCAGGAATCACTCAATCTTCTGTTGCCTTTACTTCAAGAATCTTACTCTAGCATGTGCAATTCATGTTAAGAGTACCTACTTGTACATATCTCCAACAGCTACTGGAACACTTCTCAGGGCATTGCAGGACATGTTGAGCTCAGTCAAAGTTGAAATACTGCAAACTGCCAATGGAAAGTCTCCTAAATTATTACTGGAGAGGTTAAGACTTTTCAGCTTCGTGAACCTATTGATAGAAAGAGGAAAAAAAAAAACAAAACTTAAAGCATACACTTCAGGGAAACAAAATACAAAGTATTAGAAAAGTGCTGGAGTTGTCCTGTAACATCTGAAATATAAAAGGTAGATTTGGATATCTTAAAGGTATTTCAAGTCTGTGTACTCTGGACATCAAACAAGGTTTAGAAGCACATTTACACACTTCAGTGGGTCACATTTGACCATTTACTTGATGTCAAAATACCACTGAGCATCAGCAGACAACGAGGCCACCAAGCAAAATATTAAATATATTTTCTACTGGTAGAAATCTGTTATTCTGTGATGTGATCAGTTTTTAAGTGAAGTCTCCCCTACCATCTGATCTTGAGCTGAAGCACTACTATACTTCCAACATATTTATTATTATAAAAGATGGTGAATATAATTAGAAGCAGAGTGCATGATTCTGTCCGTATAAGCTCTTTGAACAGGAAACAAAAGTGAGTAGGCACAGTTAATTTTCCATGTACACTTTGTATTGAAAACAAATTGACACAAGAATTTTATGTTAGTTTGCAAAGAGCACTGTACTAATTTGAAATTTGGTCAAACAAAAATAAAAGAAGCTCTTAAAATCTCAATTAGGTACCATCTACAAGTGCAGATATCCTTATGCTGATTATATACTTTTCCCTTCTCAACATGTCTTCATATTCCTAACATGGTTCAAGTCTTCTCAAGTCTCCTGAGAAGGAGACAGATTGCTTTGGGGTCATCTGATTTAAAACAAAAAAGTAGAAAGAGAGACCATTAAAAAAAACAAAAGAAAAGAAGAGGACAATCCAATTAGCCAGCCTGGATGCTCAGCAGCCCTGTTATGGTTGCCTAACAACCACTGGGAGGTGTGCCGAAAGGCAACTAAATGGATGAATGAAAAGATCTGTGTCAGATTCCGATGGATGAGAGGAAGTTCTTTACTGGCATGGCTTACTCTGATGCATTCTAGTTGGACTTCATTTTCTCTTCATTAAATCTCAAATCCCTTGTGTAGGAGAGGGTCGGGGAAGAAGGGGTGGGTAGAAGAGAGCTTTTTCCTCTCAGTTTATTCTACAATAGGACATACCACATCCATGGACAGATCTAGGATTTTGAAAAGTGGGTGCAGATGGTATGGCATAATCACATATAACACAACACATTTTTCTCTAGTTGAAGAGAAGCTAGATGCTTTACCAATATGCTAGGGAGCTAGCAGTATAGGTATTTAGTTTAAGATCAAGGCAAAAGTGAATGCAATTACTGGAATGTGCATTAATTTGCTAGATCTTATATAAAATGTATAAAAAGATACAACAAATTAGGCAAAATTTAGTCAAAATAGACAAAAAATCATGTCACTAGTCCTCCTTCTTACTCTCTTGTTATTCAGATTCATAAAACAAAATCTACCCTTCCTGAGCAACTTGACAGTTCCTCCAATACTGCACTGTCAGTCATTTCTATACCTGAGTTAATATTACTACATCTGAGTTAATGTTTTTAGCGAGAGCTATAAACAGTTGGAAGGGCTGTGAAATAAAGAGGGTCATTACCAGGAATGGCTAACAGACAGCAACTTTGCAAAAGAAAGGGTAGTTTAAATAGCGGAACATTAAAACCATTAAAAAGGAGAAACGGTTGTGGAGTGGAGAGAGATTAGCTAGAATCATTGAGATAAGCCATGAAGTCAACTGGCAGTGTCAGTGCTGCCTGAATAGAAGCTGCTGCCCCACTCAGAATTTGGGTGTAGGAGGAATCAAAAAGGAGGCAAAATTGCACCACTGCACCATCCTGGATCTGCCCTGACCACACCTACTAACATTAATATTTCAGGTGACAGATTTCTACTAGTGCTACAACAATGTCATGCAGGCCGGGACTGGCTAGACAATTTGCTCTCTTCATGTGCTTTGTCTCCCCAGTTAGAAAACTAGGACAGGAAACTCAAAAACATTAGATGTATTACATGATGATAAAAAGAAGCAAAGCAAAGCAAAGCAAAGCAATTTAAAACTCCAATTAATTTGCCTGCATGTGCACCAGTACCACCACCATTGCCCAAAAGACTTAACAAAATGTATGCAGGGCATTCAATACTATTTTAGTGGGGCTGTAATTACTGCAACATGAACTATGCCAATGGAAACCAAGACTGCAAAGATAAGTAGCAACATGAAGCCACAGGGATTTCAAGAAGAATGGGCACTTCATGCCCTCCTGTTGGCACAGTTTGCCAGGAATAAGGGGTACAAGGGAAAATCCTGCCAAATTATCACTCATCTTGGGCACCTCATGCCACACTGGAAACAGCAGCAGCTTGGAACAGACTCGAATGGGATC